ACAATGAATTAGAATATCTGGGGATGAGGCCAGAGGACCTCCACTTTTAGCAAGTACTCCAGGCTGGTGTTTCTCAAACTGTAAGTCATAAAAATCAATTGAGTGAATGACACCCTGTATTTATTTTTTAATATAGTAGTTTGAAACAGATTAGATTTATAGGGTTAGACAGGAATAGAAAATATCCAGAGGACACTGCTCTTAGTACTATTTTAGAAAACTTTTGTTTCAGTTTTGATATGTGGATCGGGATATTAAAGGTATTTCTTTTTTTATTATTATTATTTTTTTCTTTATTGTTTTGAGAGAGAGAGAGAGAGAGAGAAAGGGAGAGGGAGAGAGAGAGAAATATCGACCAGAGAAAACATCAATTGGCTGCCTCTTGTATGCCCCCAACTAGGGATCAGGCCCACAACCTGGGCATGTGCCCTGACCTGGAATGGAACGGCAACCTCTTGGTGCATGGGTTGACGCTCAACCACTGAGCCACACAGGCCGGGTAAAGCTATTTATTATCATACATCTCAGTAAAAAATCATTGAAGAAATATAGCTGCTTTAAACATTTTTTTGTTCTTGTTCTTATTTCTCCTTTGCAATAAGTTATCAATCTTTTATTTAATTATTCCTTTCTATGGAATAATTCATGGATAAAATCCTTCCATGTTCTTTTTAGGATCTCAGTTATTGCATTTGAGGAGCTTATGTATTCCCTGATCTTTTCACCAAAGAACCATGTTTAACTATTGATTTAATTATTTAATGGGTATTTTACCATATTTTTTATTTTTCTAAGATTTCATAAAATTCAACTCATTCTTATTTTTACTCTGGATTTTATATAATCTTCTCACTACCTGACATTATTTCACTATCTAGATCCTTGAACTCACATATTTTAACTTATTAAATTTTTTTAAATATATTTTTTATTATTTATTTCAGAGAGAGAAAGGGAGAGGGAGACAGAGATAAAAACATTGATGAGGGAGAAACATCAATTGGCTGGCTCCTGCATATCCCCCCAGGGGATCGAGTCAGCAATCCTTGCATGTGCCCTGACCGGAAATGGAACTGGTGACCCTGGTACATGGGATGAGGCACAACCTACTGAGCCACACCAGCTTAACTTATTCAGTTTATATTTTGGTAGGGGTGTCAATGCATCATGGTCTATATTTTATCCTTTAAGTCTTTCATTCTCTTAGTCTTCCACCTTCTCTCTATTTATATATACTTTTAGATAGAATTCTTCACTGGTTTGCCTTATTTTGCATTTTCATTGTATAATTGATACTTATTTTAATTCTCACCTTATCTTTTCCCTGGAAAGAAAAAAAAAATGAAAACAATCCCCATTAATACATGAGGATTTTTCTGGCTATACCTTTAGCACTTTGAAATGACGCCGTGGCGTTTCAAGTAACTGTAACTGCCTTCTGAAGAATAATATGCACACATATGAACTTTGAGTGAAGCTGTACTCACAAAGTGCTTTCCTCAGGTATGACAGAATATAGAAATCTCTGCAATTCAATGTGTGTGATAACTGTATAACTGCCCTTGAGGTAACACAAACCCACTGATTGAATAACAGTCACAGAATTTTCAGACTAGAAGAATCTCCATTCGGTCTTTAGCCTTAATCTTTACTTCCCTCGGGGCAGTGTTTCTCAAAGTGTAGCCGGAGGACCACCTGCACGCTTCTGATTTACCTGGGGCAGGTGATAAACCGGAAGCCATGAAATTACAATGCTCTTATAATTTGGATTGTTTTCATTTCACAGCTTGAGGAAGGAAGCTGACAAAATATAGGGTATCATTCAGACCTATTTTAAAAGTTACATTTAGTGATGAAATGTTATAAAAAACGAGGTGGACTTCAAGCCACAAGTTCAAGAAAAGTGAACTTAAGCACCTCTTAAGTTGATATCTTAAAATTTAGGCATGCCACACGGGTGCAACTTGGCAAAATTAATTTGGCAAAATTAATTGCCTAAATTTACTAATTTAGAACATTTAAATATCACAATTTTAAATATTTTTGCACTTTTGTTTGTTTTTGTTATCCTCACCCGAGGACATTTCATATTTATCTTCAGATAGAGCAGGAGTGAGAGAGGGAGGAAGAGAGAGAAACATCGATGTGAGAGAGCCACATCGAGTGGTTGCCACCCACACGACCCCAACAGGGACTGGGGACAAACTGCAACCGAGGTACGTGCCCTTAGCAGGAACCTAACCCAGGACTCTCTGGTCCTCGGGCTGAGGCTCTAACCAATGAGCAAACCAGCCAGGGCTATTTTTGCACTTTAGTAAGACAGTAATAATCTCAGGATTTCCTTTGGTACAGCAACAACAGGCATGCCTGTAATGACGCTATTTTCTAAAAGATTTTTAATAGGATTGAGATGTGAAGTCTTTATTACTTCTATTAAAGTTCTCTAATATTAAAGTAATTGATATTCATAGTAAGATCCCATAAAACATTGCTCTTGCTTTTCCCACACTCTTTATGAAATGTAGGAAAATGTAAACTTTAAGTATGGTAGCTGTTGATTAATAATAAAAAATTATGCTTGTAATCTTACTGAAAAATATGGCTAACTTTAACTGCCAAGTTAGATTTTTATGAGTTGCGCCACATTATTTTAAGACTGTTGTTTCTTCTTTCTTTACTACATAAAAAAAAGGTCTCAATTAGATAGTTACTTACAGCACAAACAAACCATAATTATTACATTTTCATCCTAGCTTTCACTCAAATGTCTGAACAAATCTCCTGTTTCAGTGAATTAAGTATAAAGATCAGGTCTATAAGGTCAAAGATGACATATACTTTTCAATTTGTATAGCAGAGCTATATGTATGTTAAAAAGAGCTATCTCACAAATTTTTAAACCTGGGATTTTTATTTTTAATTTGGATACGAAGATCAAGATGAATTTTTTTAAAGTGTGAAAATTGCAAATTTTTGTTAATATCTAAGTCTCTAGTGAAAGTTTCTTTCTGAAACTGCCACAGTACCTCCAAATATATAGCACTGAAAATCAACATAGATGAACCTCCTTTTCAACAGTGAGCATTAAAACTGAAATGCAAATTAAGGCTTCAGTTTCAGAACTTAACAGAGATATGCAGAATAATAAAATGTGAAGTTTGGAAACACTTGGCAATGTAAAAGCACAGTCTTTATCTAAATTCTTATTTTGATAATCAAGCCTCAAATCTAATAAATACATTTTAGATGCAAATAACTAGTAATTCATTGTTAGAGTGACGTTTTTAGATCACTATTATAAGTTTTGTACTATAAAAACTACTCTGAGTCTTCAAAGACCAAGACTATTCTTGAAAATATTGCTTTAATGAAGCAGTTATTTGATATCTCAAAGAAATACAAGAGACCATCAAATAGCTTTTATTCTGGAAATTACAGATTCCCATTTTAAATTTTGAATTGGTCAAATATATTTCCCTGGGGAAAGAATCAACATTAAAAGTTTGTTCCAATGAACAAAATAATGTGCCTCGTATGTATAAATGTGGTGTTTTTTAGTAATCAGCAATGCACTTTGAATACTCTTCCCATACATTCAAAAATGAAAAAAATCTTTTCTAAGCAAGTTTAAAAAAAAAAAAAAAATCAAAGACATGAAATCCACATATTTTGGTGTGCATTAAATTCATCTTACAGAAGCATCTCATTCTGACCACTCCAATTGGCCTATTATGTATGTGATGTACTAGGAAGTTCTCAAAATTATCTGAAATAATGTGACATTTACATTCCATAAAAGATGTTGGACACAGAGTTTTTATTATTCTTAGCCAAGGTTCTCAGCAATGTCAAAGTATATTTTGCTACTGTATGGAAACTACCAGAAAAGCCTGGTCTTCAAACTCAATTCCTCTTAATATTACGACGACCTTTAATTACACACACAACATCCCAGCAAGCCAAGAAACAATACAAGTAAGTTCCTTTTTCCTTTCCTCTTATAAAAAACTGAATCCAAGTCCATTTTCATTCACAAAATATAATCTCCGATTTCACTATGGCAGTATTACAAAGTACCATAGCTGATTTACACAATCTAGTACAACCTGCTTTCTTAACATATCAGCAACTTAAGAGTACCTGAGGAGTTCCTTACAATGGAGGGGCAGAATTACAAGTTGGTTTTTTACAGTTTGAGCTCACTGTGATGCTTTCAAATATTCTATAAATCCTCGGTTTTCACCTAGACCATTACTTCTCACAAACTTTTCAGGCACTTACTGTCCCACACATTATTTTACCAACTTTTCCATTTGGGAGGCATATATCTGAAAAAGGAACTCAACGAATTTCAAAGTCACTATTTATTGTATATGCAAGCTGTTAAAATGTAGCAAATTCCTCCGAATACATAAATTTGAGGACAATTATGATCAATTTGGTCACAGTTATTTGCCTTTGGAATCAAGCTGGCTGGTACACTAAATGCTAGATTTACTACACTGCCCCATCCACCCTTCACCATGACAAAAATAACTGTCACAAACAACACAAGATACCCAAGAAAGAGGCCTTGGAAAGAGTAAGCAAATGGCAGTCACTATAATCAGAGAAGCCTCTGTACAGTGCTTCCTTGGGTTTTTAATAATTCTCTCCACTCATAAGCTGCAATCTTTCTACAATATTATCTCCTGTTAACTATCCTAGGTCTCCAACTCTGTAAATTTCATCATCAATTAAAATGCCCATTTGAAGTTTCAAAACACTTACTTGCAGATAAATGTGAAATGAGATTTAAATTATCTTAAAATAATAGTAACGGCAGCTGAAATCTAAATACTAAGAATCCTAAATTGGCTTCAGTTGTGGGAACCTCAGTGAAACAAGCTTTCTGGGGTGGTGCAACCCCAATAAAGCATCTTCTTTTGTAAACATTAAGGACCCTTACGTTATTACTAATAGACATCCAGGTTTCCTGTGTGGAGAGTTTGCATACTTACCCAGGAAGGCAAATGGAAAGTACACAGGGAGGAGATGAACTGCGGCAAAGCCTTTGTCATATGATAGTGACCTATAAAGTATCAAATAAAGGTACATCATCAGTATGGTAGAGCTTTACAAGAGTCCCAAGTCCTGCAACATCTATGAAGGACCTGGAAACCCAGGAGTCCATCTGCCACCAACCCCTTCCCTCTCTCCACCCCCAGGCTAACTGTGGGGCAGTAAGGGCAAAGAAGCTCCTTGTACTCAGAGGGCAGAGGCTGAAGGTAGCCCAGCTGGCATTCCAACGTGTCTCAAGCACCCTCTCTCCCTACTCCCAATATGTGCAAAGCGGAAAGTTGATCCATTCTGCAAACCCAAAACCCACACCGCGATCATTCATCAACTTGCACAAGTGATCGCCGCCCCCAGGACGAATACACCAGTAACCAAATCATAGCATTCAATCGGCAGCCGGAGCCTCCACGGTGCCCAGGAGCCGGCTGGAGGTAGCAAGGCGATGGCAGCGGGTGCAGGTAGCGCAGCCCTCAGCCCTTCAGACCTGGGCTACCACCCACAGCCTTCACCCAAACGCCAGGCTCCGGTCACAATCAGGGGATTGGAGATCGGAACCGAGCGAGGAAACACATTAGCCAGAGCCCCGGGCGGCAAGTGCAGGGCCACCAGGTCTTCGAGTTCTGGGCTGGGGGAGCTAGGAAACGGAGAGGGAGGAAGGGAGCAAGAGATCCCACCCTGGCTTTGTTGCTGGTCACCATCAAGTTTACATCTTAGTACAAAATGTCGATCTTAAAGGCTGACAAGACAGAGGCAGAGGGAGAAAGAGAAAGGGAATAGAGTCCATCTTGCTTTGGGGAAGAGGGGAGAGAAAAATAATGAAGTGCAAATCCCACACTCCGGGCGTAAAAGTCTGCTAAACACCTTTTCATAACGAAGGAGCAACGAGTGGGGTGTCCCCGTACCCGTGGCCGCTCGAACTGGCGGCAGTCTGAGCAGAAAAAGCCTCCCTCTCCTCCTCTTCCTCCTCCTTCCCCTCCTCCTCCTCCTCTCTCTCCTCCTCCTCCCGCGGGCCCGGGCGAAGATCCCGCCGCCACCGCCGCTGCCTCCGCTGCCCCCCGGGGAGGCACCACCGCCTGGCCCGGCGCTGCCATTCCGGGCTTGGACCGCGCGGTGCGCGTGGGGCCGGGCGCCGGGTGGCCGCGCGGGGACGTCCGCGCCAGGGACCCCCGCACCCCCTCGCCGCGGGCTGGCTATAGAAGTCGCGCGAGCAGAGGTGGTGGCGGCGCGCAGAACAGGGGGCGCGCGTGAGGGCCCCCACGCCGCGAGTGGGCAACCCCAAGGGATGGCGAAGAACGTCCCTCCCCGCGCGGGGAAAGTACCCCAGTCCCCAGCAACCCGAGGTCCGCGGACGGGAGACGAGAACTGGACGTGTCATTAGCAGGACAGGCAATGGTTTCAAAGCCCCAGGCCAATGATCATTAGCAGAGGCAGAGATCGTTCCGTCCCCATCCCCCACAACCTCCACCCACCTTCCCCTTCGTACCCCCCCCCCACCTCCACCCCACCTCGCGAAACTTTTCAACAAGATCCACTAGGACTAATTTGTCCTCAGACAGTTAAAATATTGACTAGACCCTACACACCGGGAGGGAAGGGGAATGCAAGCTTTATTTTCCTTTCTACAGAAAGGAAAGCAAAAAATAGCTTCTCTCTCCGTCTCTCCCTCTCCCCCCCACCCCGCCTCTGTCGTACATGTTGTGTCTTAGCTTTTTGCATCGTTTCGTTTTACCTTCCTCATTTAGCAGAAATGATCGCGGATATTTCACACATTAACGTGTTCCAGATTCTTGGATTCAGGGTCCTTGTAAATTACAGACTCGGGTTTGGTCTCAGTTACGTTAAGTTTCATACAATACCCCCAAAAATAAAAAATAATAATACATGTATGAGGGTGAGCGAGCGAGACGAGGTGGAGGAGGAAAAGAAACCTCGAGTCTGATTTCTGTAATTTACTAGCGACCCGGATCGCGGCAAATAACAGTGTAACGCAAGTGTGGCTTGAGAGGGTTGGGGAGCTCTTTCTAGAGGCATCGACCCCATCCCCGGATAAAGGATCTGCAAGTTTTCTGTCATCGCGACCATGCAATGCCACAACTTACCTTCAGAAATAAGACTTTAAACAGCCAAGGCCTTCCTCCTCCCCGCCACCCCCCCCCCAGCCTTGCTCTCTCCACCTTAAACTTATTGACACAACATAATCCCACATTCAAACAAAATCCTGACACAGCCTCCCTCCTCCTCTTCCCCCTCCTCTCTTCCCTCCCGTTCTCTCTCTCTCTCCCTCTCGTCCCCCCCCCCCCCCGCGTTCCCTCCCTCTTCTCTCTCCCCTTCTCCCTCGCCCTCTTCCCTCTCCCCCTATTCTTCCTCCGGGCTACTCTGGCACTAAAACAGCACTTTCTCTACTCGCCGAGCATTTGGGTAGGGGTGGGGGGTGAGAGGGCAGCGATCCGCGGGGCCGGAACACCCAAATCCCAACTCTCCAGATGAACGAGCAACTGGGCTGCTGTTCCCGGTCACCGACGCACACGAAACGTTCCATAAATCCACTGAGGGCTGGCTCCTCGTACCTTCCTCCCCTGCCCCTGCTCCCCAGGCCCCACCTCCCCGGCAGCCGAGACCAGGCTGGGATCCACGTACTTTCGCCGAGATGAAGTTTGGGGCTCCCCGGGCGGCCACGAGCCGCCCGCCGGCGTGAGGGCTGTTGTTGTTTTCCTCGGGCTGCTCCTGCCCGCGCCCCGGCTCCCGTGCCCCTCTCGGGCGGCGCTGCCTGAGTGCCGAGAGGTGCTGGTTGCAAACGCAGCCTGGCACCGGCTGGCCTACTACTCCCCAGCCCGGCCCCCAGCCTCCCGCCCGCAGGGCACTGCCTCCGCACCCCCCGCCCCCCGCCGGCGCGGCCGGCGCGACCCTCGCCCCCGACCTCTCCCGACCCAAAGTTTTGGCAGAGGGGGAAAGTACCCGGGGAGCGGGCCGGCTGGCGGCGGCTCCCGACGCGCGGGGTTCCCTCCGTCTTCCTCAAGTCCACCCTACCGGCTGCCGCCGCCGCCGCTGCCGCTGCTCCTGCCGCGGAGTCCTTGGGGCTGCAGCCCGGCGGCTCGCAAGTGAGTAGGAAAACAGAAAGTGCGGGGAGAGCGCCCGGGAAGGGCTGGGATGAGGGGCGCTTACCTCGCGGGCTCGCCGGCCGTGAGGGCGTGTGTGTGGCTCGCCCTCCGCGGCCAGTCAGGGGTTCTCTATGGGAAAGTGGAGAGGAGCTCGCAGAGCCGCTCTGCCTCCGTTTCACTGTACACTGCTCCACATACAGTACATGCAACCCGGAGAGACTGAAAACACTCATTTTATATAAGGCAGCCTGCCATTGGCCCGCGTCCTGACAGACAGGCCGCGCGGCCAAAGAGGAGGCCCGTTACACCCAAACACACGCACACATACACACATTTCACAGAGACACACAAAGATCATCACATTTTCTATTTTCTAATGTTCGGGACCTGTAGACAGTAGGAGAGGACAGGTAGAGAGGCCCAGTAGAGAGAGGTAAGGGCGAAAAACCCTGTGTGCACCAAGTTGCAAGGCTTGAAACTGGTGTCCATTTGACTTGGGAGGGTGATAGTAATAAACTACAACTCCACTGGATGTGGAAGTGAGGGGTTTTTTTAATCGCTCCTGTGTGGTGCCCCATGGAAGAGGCATGCATTGTGTTATGATTTTACAGCCTGACCTGGCTGATAAGTGACCAAGAAAGGCTTTTATCAGCTTGAATTTTTTTGTTAATGGGTTAGCTATCACATAGGCCAAAATAGTGCAAGATAAGTTTATTAGGACTACAGTGCATTGAGGTTATTAAGGCTTCATTTGTAAGTAAATTCAGAAAAATCAATACAGAAACACACAGAAACAAAGATAAACATTTTGCTGAAATAGCCAATCTACTTTTAGCTTGTCCGAGGACTGCAAGTCACCTGTGTGGGCATACAAGCAGTGCTCTAAGGTAGAATAAGTCATGAAAGATTGTCTCTAGCCCCTTTCTTTTAAAAACAGACCTTTTGAGTCAATCGATGCAAGATTTATATTTTGCATGTTATGTATATGATCTTGACTTTACATATTTCACATCATATGTGAACATCACATGTCGAGTGACTTTTGGAGATGGTGAACCCAAGGGATTCTTTCTATTTTTTAAACTGATTTTTAGAGATGAGGGGAAGGGAGAAAGAGAGAGAGAAACATGAATGTGAGAGCCCACAGGCCCCCCACCTGGCAATGAGCCTGAAATTCAGCCAAGTGCCCTAACCAGTAATCAAACCGCAATCTTTTGGTGCACAAGACAATGCCCAAGCATCCCAGCCACACTGGCCAAGACATGATTTTTTTTTCTATGATGCATCTTTGGCAGATTATATTTGACGGTTCTATTATATAAACAAGTCAACAGGTTGCTGAGGGGGAAAGCCATAGTTGGAAATTAAGAGGAAAATATTCTAGACCCAGTTCTTAAACTAGCTGAACCAATTTTGAGCAACTAATTTAGCCACTTTAATGTTCAGAATTGATTTTAGGTTTTATTTTCATTTTTTTGCTTTTAAAATTAAAATAAGAAGCTTTCCTCAGTTTCTTTTCATTAAGTGTTTATTCATAATCTGCTATATACCAGGCATTATCATCGTCTCTAAATGTTTTCTTAAGATTCCTTCTGATTTAAGAGTCAGAATCATTCTTAAACACAAACATTTTGAAGATTAAATAAACACTACAGTTGTATGGCCTAAATGCACAGCTTTCAAACATAAAGGAAAGCTGAATAAGAGAACTTACTTCAAATCCCCTTTTATTTCCTTGATGCTATCTTATACTTTTCCACTCATAACCCTAAAATTATCAAATGAGAGAGAGTGTGTATATGTGTGTGTGAGAGAGAGAGGGGAATAGATACTGAGATAACTTAAGTTTATGAAGTTTAGTAAACAAATAGTAGTATTTAGAAACTTGAAGTTTTGTTTATTTTTTAATGAAAATAACTTTTAAAAGGGAAAGTATATAAAAACACAGCATTTTAAACTGATAATATTAAAGGTTATATTTAATGACACTGCATTGAGTTGACAGAAGGAACAAAGTGTTCTTTATCCACACTACACTGCTATGAAGTTGCTTCTAAGTATTATTATCTCAGTTTTACCCATAAGAGAAATGAGACAGAGACAAATTACCTAACCTGCTCAATATTACACAGAATATACCAGTGAAGAAGGAACTTAAACGCAGGACTTGACTCTTCATACTCAACACAGGTTTTGAGTAACTTGACAGTGACTTCAAAATGACAAACTTCAGGGACCAGAGGCAGATGGAGGAAAAACTAGAAAAACACTTTCTCGGGATTTCACTGTGCTTTTTTGAAGATGAAAACAAACAAACAAAACACAAGTTGCTATATTTAATTGCTGAGTAAAGTGTTGTGAATTATTTGTTAGTATATTTACCTTATGAAAAATATGTAAGTCCGTCTGGTGTGGCTCAGTGGTTGAGCATCAGCCCATGCACCAAGAGGTCGCTGGTTCAATTCCCAGTCAGGACACATGCCCAGGTTGTGGGCCTGATCCCCAGTGGAGGGCATGCAGGAGGCAGCCAATCGATGTTCTCTCTCATCGATGTTTATATATCTCTCTCTCACTTGCTCTCTCTCTAAAAAATCAATAAAGGAAAAAATTTTTTAATATATAAAAGACCAGCTCACTCTCCACCTCTGCCCCTAAAACCCAACCATAGGAAAACATTATTTCTTTATGGTTGCAAGGAATTTTTTGGTTGAATTAAGCATAGCTTAGCAGAATTATCTAGAGCTACAGTTTCAAACTTTTAGATCACACATTGCTGCCACTAAAATAGTTGAGCATGTACCCTCAATATATGTGTATTTATGTATCCTTTTTAAAATGCACTACTACATGGATTTTTTTTTTCCCTCACCTGAGGACATTTTTCCATTTTTTGTTCAGATAGAGTGGGAGGGACAGAGAGGAAGAGAGAGAAAGAGAAACATCGACGTGAAAGGGACACATCAAGTGGCTGCCACCCGCACAACCAACCAGGGCCGGGGACAAACTGCAACCGAGGTACGTGCCCTTAGCAGGAACCGAACCCGGGTCTCTCTGGACCACAGGCCGACGCTCTAACCACTGAGTCAAACTGGCCAGGGCATAGATATATTTTTTATTATTACAGAGGATGTGCTCACAAAAGCAAAATTAAAAGGCATTAGATAAAAATAAATTAAGGGTTTTAATATTTTCTTCCCAGAATCTGACAATGTAGTCTTTGCACATGCCCTGGAGTTTTGCATTCAAGTTTGGAGATTTCTTTTTTTTTTCTTATTTGAGAGAGAGAGGAAGGGAGAAGGAGAGAGAAAGAAACATCAATGTGAGAGCAGACCATTGATTAGTTGCCTGGTTACCTCTCGCACTCCCCCACCCCACCCCACCCCCTAGAGATCAAGCCTGAATTCCTGGCATGTGTCCTGACCAGGAATGAACCTGCAACCTTTTGGTGCACAGGATGACACCCAGCCAACTGAGCCAAACCGTTCATGGCCAAGTTTGGAGACTTCTGACAGTGAAAGGTTCTAACAGGCCAGGACTGATTCAAGAGAGGATAAAGTACATAGAAACAACTAATGGAAAACTGTGGGTCACAAGAGCTTTGAGATTAGGAGAATGACACATTTTTAAAAAAAAATGCATTATGGATCAGTGGTATATTAGGCATCATGTGGCAGTGCAAGCCATCATTCAATATTTGTTTGCAGATCATTTGTTGGAAAGGATCTATGTGCTAGGCACTTGTGCATGCCAGATTCTGGAAAAGGAAAATTGCCTGCTCCTAGAAGTGATGGAATAGAATAGAATTCCAGTCTCTTGTGTGATAGATAGGGCCTCACCACTAAGGAAAAGAGGCTTAGAAATAAGTGCCATGTAGTACTACTTTACCATTTAGGAAATACTTTTTAGATTGTTAACTATCTCATTAAAGAATAAATATCAAGAAATTTTAAATGTTATTGATGCTCAAAAATTAAAACCATGTTCAGGAAAAACCATAGATTTCATAGAGTTTATTTAATTTTTATAACGTAAGTTTATAAAAATAAAACCTGTTATGAGTAAAATGGCTTTTAAAAGGGTCTTCGTTTTTCCTTTATTGTTTTCATATTTGTTGATACAGGTTAAGCTGCTATGGTTAGCATAATCTTCTTTCTCATGGCCTTGATTTTTCATTTTTTAAATCTTATTTTATATGAGTCCTTTGTAGTAAGCCACATGAAGAGTAAATTTAAATGTGCGTATGTACAAGCATATATGTTGTTTAAGTAGGTCTATAAATAATATTTTGTTTCTTTATTTATATATTATTTCATTATACTAATGCAAATCTTGATGTTACCACTTCCTAACTGTGTAAACTTAGAAAAATTCCTTAATCACGCTAAACTAGGACTCACTTTCCTAGTTTATAAAATAGGGATAACAAGAGTAACCATACATTAAATAATCCATATAAAATGTTTAAACCAGGAACATACTAAACATTCAATAAATATTATTTTAATTTCTCTTTCGCACATAAAAGCCAATGACAGCTATTTTACAGAATGAGTTTTAAGACTTAACCCTCATACTCAAGCGGAGTTTATGAAACCTGTTGCAACTTACTTGCCCAGTGTTGACAATTTCCCTTTGGCCTACATTCTACTAACTTCAGCATCTCTGCACATAAAAAGGAGTTAAGCCTGATCCCAGGAAAAAGCAAACATCTTATTGGGTGGCCATTATTAAACACCCAAAAAGGCAAACTTGTAATAAATCACTCTTTGAAACAAGCCTTGTTTTGTGCATTGAAACTCTAGATAGTTGCACTGTTGAGGGTCTGCCTTGCATAAGTTTTTGACTTGTACTTGACCTTACTGAGCTTACTTTTTTTTTCTCTGTAAGAGAAATAAATAGAAAAAATAATACCTCTCTCCTCAAGGCCAATGCAAAGAGACTAAAAATGGAAACTCAGGCAGTTGGACCAGTTCTCAGCACCAATGCAAAACTTTGTAGTATCAAAGAGAACCAGCTTCTACTGGATCCCAGCAGAGTTGGGGATAAATACCTTGCTTTCCTAGAGTGACACTAGGCAAAGCTTCTCAGAATTCCCACTCTCTTGTGATCTTCTTAAGCATTTTATCTATATTACTCTTAAGGCATTCAAATACCTGGCCTTGTATTACATTATTTGTATATTGATAGAGATCTCTATTTGATGGCAAACATCTTGAAGAAAATGCTGAT